TTTGCACCCTGGGCCTTCCGGCTTTGGCATGCCCCCAGCCTCTCCCCACAGTCATGCGTGCTGCAAATGGACAGCGGAGGTTCACGCTTCATCATGGGCCTCCAGGAGCTGAGGCTTTACTTGGAGGGGGGAAGAAAGGAGCATCACCGGGGTGGTAGATGCAGCACAGCACGGGACAGTCAAGGGGTAGGAAGGAACGGTAGAGCCAGGGCCCAAGGTTGCAGGGGAGCTGCGTGCCCGGCGCAGGGCTGGGCTGGGGCAGCTCCATGCTGGCTGCAGCAGGGATGGGTTGGGCGCATGCACTGCCCCCTCCTCTTGCAAGGGGGGCCCCGTGCAGCAGGACCTGGCCAGCCCCTGGGCCTGGGCACGGCTCCCTCCAGCCCCCTGAAGATACAGCAGGCCCTGCTGCAACGGGAGCCCTGGGTTTGCTCTGCTCGGATGGTCTCTGCTCAGGTGTGGGGCAGGGAGAGCTTCCCTCCCGGACGCCCTGGCAGCCCCTGGCTCCCTGCAGCGCAGGCATCGCTGGGCTCCCGGACTTGCAGCTGGAGCCCGGGTCCAGGAGGGAGCTGACCTTGGGGTGGGAGAGGTGATATCTTTTATTAAACCAACTAGATATTTGCAGAAAAAAAATTCTTCATTTGCAAGCTTTCAGGCTTAGGCACCCTTCATCGGGCATAGGAGATTGCAAGGAGAATTTTACAATCTTTGCAATCTCCTATGCCTGATGAAGGGTGCCTGTGTCCAAAAGCTTGCAAATAAAGCAATTTTTTCGCAAATCTCTTTTTTAGCTCATTACACCCTCCTCCCCACCCCACACACACATGCACACAATTTCCTGGTGCAGTCACGTGCCTGGATGACATTAGTACACGCTGTGTGCCCATCCCCATAGTACACGCGGGCCGGGTTGCAAGAAGCCCAGGGCAGAGAAGGCATCCCCCTCCCCAGGCGGGCTCGCGGGCTCCTCTGGAAGCTGGCCAGCCCCAGGCATCTGAGAGCAATAAAGAGCCAGGAGCTGATGGTGCCATATTAGCCCCGACACGCAACATTGTACAGTAATTTTCCACCGTGATCACTGATCGTTTGCTCCTCATTATCCAGCTTTAATGGGCTTTAGGCTTGTTGTTATTCTGTGCACATGTCCACGCCGCTCAGTCTCTACCGAAGCCAGGAGCGCTCCCCCCTCAGCCCGGTGCCCCCAGCCAGGATCCCAGGCTGCTTGGCAGAGATGGGGCAGCTCACCAAGGCCTATTTTAAGTGGATTCAGGAGATCTGCTCCGCTCCGTGTCCGCCCAGCGCTGCCATACCGGGGCAACAGCGAGGGTTTCTGCTGTGCTGGTGGACAGCCCCAAGTGCGGAGGTCCAGGCTCCCGAATCCTCGTCTCCCTCAGCCTTGGCCATCACCCCTGCTCTGGCCTCCCCTCCAGCGCTGCACATCCACACGCCGAGAAAGAGAAGCAAAACCTGAGCAAGGACCCAATTCTCAGGCCCGGGAGCCCGCCTTGCACCTGCACCATTGATTTCACATGGGAGATGCTCGACATGGGAAGCAAGAGCTAACTGCCCCATCAACGTGGCTCCCAAAAGGTGCAGAGCCAGGCGCGCTCGGAAACTATTTGCCATTGGCAGGCACAACCCCTCCAGATTGAGGGACCCCACTGTGCTGCTGCATCATCCCAGCCAGGGCTTTGTCTACCCCGGTCTTAAACACCTCCAAGGATGGAGACGCCACCACCACCGCTCTGGGGAGCCTGGTCCAGCGCTTCACCTCCCTCCTCATGAGGAAGTTTTTCCTAATATTCAAACTAAACCTGCCTGGCTGCAACTTGAGCCCATTGCTCCTTCTGCCATCTGCCCCCACTGAGACCAGCCCAGCTCCGTCCTCTTGGCAACCCCCCGGCAGGGAGGTGAAGGCTGCTATTCAACCCCCCCTCGGTCTTCTCTTCCGCAGACTCAGTCAGCCCAGCTCCCTAAGTCCTGTGCTCCGGCCCCCGAACCGTTTCCATTGCCCTCCGCTGGACTCTCTCCAAGTCGCCCACGTCCTCTCCTGCTGCCCATTCTGCTGGTCCGCAATTACAACGGATTATCCCCCACATCCGGCCAAATCCCCGAGTTTCCAAGCACCTTCCCCCTCTCCCTGAGCCCTTCTCCATATTCTAATTGACAAAAGATGCCTGGAAACATGCTGTAATATCTTCCCGGCGGCCCGGTTGCGGCAGGAGACCCGCCGTTTACATTTCTGATTGTCTACATGCTCCTTCCATTAAATTGTCTCTTCCTAATAGCGTCTGTTCTCTCCGTGCGTCTCTCGCAGGGCTGGGAGTTGGATTGCATTTGCGAAGCCGGGGATATTCAGCAGCCCATTGTATTTCTCGGGCTCTGTGGAGCAACAATCTGAAAGGCTTATGGATTCCATGTGCCTGTCTTTGATAGCAGCTCCCTCGGCTGCGGTAATAAATGGCAGTCACTGGGAGTTTTACATCCTTTCTAGCTTCCCAGTGAGAAATTTATCTGCTTTATTGGAGGAGGCTATTGAACGTGCTGCATTCGGAAGGAGGAGTACTCGGGCGTCCTCCGAGGCCTCTGATTTAACCCGTGCTTTGTGTTATTTATAGCTAACGCCATCTCCCCGAGGCAGTGTTATTTCATACCAGTTTTCTGATTGATTTATTCGTATCCCCTGAGCCTCCAAGTGCTTTTTTCTCCCTGCTCGGTGCTCTGCACACCAAGACCTGGAGTCTGACAGGCCTGCTGCCTCTACGCGAATCTACGCGTAGCTTTAAGCCTCCTTTGCATTTAATGAACCTTGCACATGGGTGCGTCTACACGCGCGCTTTAATGTGCATTAGCATATTTTAATGTGCATTAAAGCCTCATGTAAAAAACCATGCTTCGTAATGCTCATTAAAATAGGCTAATTAGCATTAAGCCTCACTTTAAAAGCGTGCTCTTTAGCTAATGTGCATTAAGCCAGGCTAACGCACATTTTCCTAGTACCTCACAATGGAGGTACTCGATTTAATGCATATTAACTACAGCGCATTAATGCACATGTAGACGCACCCACCGGTTCCTGGAGAATCCGGT